GAAATCACCTTAAAGTCGGAAGTTGAGAATATCCGGGTGTGACTGTCAAAAGACCCAAACCCTCAACCCTAAACCCTAAACCGTCCTCAACCCTTGACTAAACCCTGGGGTTTGGGATCATAGCGCCCTCGCGGCCGGCAGCACTAAATGCTGTGGGCCCTCGGCTCCTGGCCTCTTATTGCCTAACTGCCTAATCTAGACCCAAGAGTAACCTAGGAATAAAAAGGGTGCCCTTTTTTGGTTTAAAGGGGCTTATAAGGGAACCTGAACCCTAAAAAAGGGAATAAGGGCCTACTCTAGGTCCTAGTAATCGAATCCTGCAGTCAGCGATCTCTCAAGCCTAAACACTCTCAACCCCTTGGTATCAGGTGTTTAGGGTGTAAGGTTTTGTCATTTGGAGCTATGAGCTCTGAAGTCTACACCAACAAACCCGGCAACTATAATGCCAAAAACCTCAATCCTATGAACCCTGAAGCCTACAAACCCTCAACCCCATGAACGCTGAGGCCTAAACCCCCCGAAATCTTGGATTCTGGAGTCTTATAAAGATCAGAATGGCGACACCAATCATTAGAATAGGGATTTTGGGGGCTCAACCGTACTGTACTCATATACGGAGCCCTGAATATTTTCACTACTAAATGTTCGCCCGATCAGCCCTGAACTCCCTCAATTCCTGTGAACAAGATCGGGCTCAGGATTTAGACGGTTTAGGGTTTAGGGCCTAAGTCAGGGTTTAGGGCTCAGGATTTAGGTTTAGGATTTTGCAGGTTGGCGTTAAGGGTTTAGGGTGCAGGAACGAACCATCTGTCTCTCTTGTCGAAATCCTTCAAAACCCTCAAATCAGAACAGTTGAGACCCAACAAGAGATTCAAGCGTTTCCTTCGGAAACTGTCTGTTCAAGGAAATATCTGCGACCCTCAAGGAAGATGATCCTAATCACGATCTTCGGGCATTGGCAAAGCCAAGCAGCTGGGTTTGTTGGGGATGCACTCCCCACCGACTGCATCACCTAGAGGTGCTGGCGTCTTAGAGTCTTACTTAGTTCTCTCTTGGGGTTGGGTTGGCTCTTTGTACAGCAGGGGGCCAGGACCTTGTAATGAAGCTCTAGTTTCTTAAGGAAAAGGTAATGTAGAACTCAGGGTTTAGGGTCTAGGGTTTAGGCTTAAAGACTACACCAATGCCCTTAACCCCAAACCCCAAGTCCTAATGTAGGGGTCTTAAGTTGTTCAATAGTGTTTTGGAGTGCATTACTTTAAAGAACGAAACTGTACAAGCCGACAGTAGCCCCTGCAACCCTACAGCCAGCCGTAGAAACACAATGATAAGCACGAGAGTTTTCCTGTAGACCATCCTCTTGTAGACTCTCACTGTCTAAGGCAGTAGGTGCAACGCTTCTTACAGGTCTCCTGCTGTTTCTCAGGCTCTGTCTCTGCGATGAACTCATCATATGTCATGTTGAATTGCCCTACACTGTATCCTTGCTGGATGTAGGCCACCTTGGAGTTGGCCTAGAATGTTGTGTCAAGACCAGCCAACACTCCGTCGTCATCTCTGTCTCTGCCATCAATTTGTGCTTGGCGAAAGCAGAGCTTTCTGGAAATCCATCAAGGCTGCTTGCATAAGCAACTCCGAAATGGGAGTTTCCGAAAACAGGGGACCCCAATATAGTACCCTAAATGATCCTTGTTATAAGGACCCCAAAATAAGGTACCCCTAATTTTCGGAAACTCCCATACAAATCCTCTTTAACATTGCTTCGTAACTCTTCGCTGAGAATCCTTTGTGGGCCTCGGGCCAGCACATGTCTTCGAGGCTCCGACGTGGGATCTCTTTCGCTGCTTTGCGGCTGTCGAGAAAGTGGTACGGCTGTCGTCTTCATGAAAACAGACACTTCGGTCTTGGAAGCGTTTGGGCTGTAATAATTCCCCGGATCCAGGTATTCGATATTCTGGGACTTTGGGGGGCTAATTATTTGTGGCATCAGAATCCATAGACGAGGATTACTTGGGCCCTCAGGGATACAGACGCCGAGAGGAACCTCAGAAGTCCTGATCAAGAATAAACAGATTGGTCGGCCTTGTTGTTGTTCCCGGGGTTCGGGGAGCCCGGTTGGGTGGTTGTCAAAATTATGGTCCATTTTTGGCCACCCTGAATATTAGGTGCTGTATTATAATAGGGACCCAAAAAGGGACCATAATTTTGACAACCACCCGGTTAAAAAAAGCTAGGGTCTGTAGAGTCTGTAGGCCTCGCAGATAACACATGCCACTGATACCTCATGAGACGACTATAGAATTGTCAGAGCCCCTAAGCCGTGCGAACCACCCGGAGCCGCACACATCAAAACCGCTGATCCTGCCGAAACTTCGATTATATCTCCGAATACTTGAAAATGTGTAAAAGATCACGAACCCAATAAAGACCCAGTCTATCTCTAACCTGCATAAACAAACTTGTTCCCTCATCCTGAACTCTCCTGGCCTTGCTTTGATCGCTGAGCGTGTCGTTGTCTCCTGTGTATCCCGAGAACAAGGGAAAAGGGATTCCTCAACAGCATGAGCCGAAATAATCAGACTAGTTTTGCCGGGTATATACTACTACTGTATAGACACGTAGGGACCCCAAAAATGTACTATTATTACTATTTTCCTCAGACCTCTATGTAGACGTGTCGTTTGTCCCCTGGGCCTGAAAACCAGGGAAAAAGGACTCTTCAGGAGCCAAACGAATTAGAATGCCGGAGGAGCTAACAAAACTAGAATGCCTGATATTTACTTTAGTATCGACACACTTTCTTACCCCACAAGGATACAATTACCATTTCCTCTGACCCGTTTTTTAGAGTATTGGCGTTTTGCAGGTTGGAGCGGTTTGGGGTTGTAGCGTAGGGCCTGGCGGGTGCCATCACTTAGGGCAATATACATAAACGTTAGACTAGGGTTTTGGGGTCTACTATACTACCTTAACCTACCAAAACCTACTTTTTGGTAGGGTCCCTATCAATTCCATATTAGGATTTATAATAAGAACCTACAAAAAAGTAGGGTTTGGTAGTTTAAGGTATAGTATAGTATAACAATACAATAAGGAACTACCAAAACCCTATTCTGATTCTTAAGGCCCCTACATTGTTACATCATACCATAATTACATAAGGAACCCCTTCTAACTGCTAAGGTCACTATGGGGGTTTCCGAAAACAGGGGGTCCTGCTGTAGTACCCTACATACTAGGATCCTTATTATATGGACCCCCAAACACGGTACCCCTAGTTTTCGGAAACTCACCATTTTTGGTATTGGGTAACTTTGTAAGGGACCTAGGACTACAAAAAGGGAATAAGGGTGCTACTGGGCATCCTAGGAAACTCCAAGCCCCTAAATGCGATAAGTAAGCCCTGCTGAGAGTTTTAAGGAGCCTCTACAGATCGCTTTGAGGAGCCCTTTAAGGAACCCTTAACTAGACCCAAGAGTAGCCTAGGAATAAAAAGGGTGCCCTTTTTGGCTTAAAGGGGGTTTATAAGGGAATCTAAACCCTAAAAATGGAATAAGGGCCTACTCTGGGACCTAATTAATAAGCCCCATGATCCTCCAAGTCTAGCACTGTTTCGCCTTCGAGCTTCAGTGTCAAGTTCGGGGCTTAGGGACCCGATTGCGGCAGCTTCGAAATCCTAAACGGCGGTTCAGGGTCTTTTTTTAATGCAGTGCCCTTTTCCTTGCGGTTCAGGGTTTAGGGTTTGGGGTTTAAGGGTTTAGGGTTTAGGGTTTAGGGATTGGAAAAAACAAAACCCAGTTGCAAAATGCGGCATATCCCCTTAATAGGAGCCCCAGCTGATACCTCTGACAGCCCCTACTTGGAGGATCATGGGACTTAGTAATTGGGGTTATAAATAAGGTAAGTATACTTAAAAGTCCTTATAACCCCAATTAAGGCGCTTATAACCCTACTTACTAAGTCCCATGATCCTCCAAGTAAACCCTAAACCGTGGCAACCTACGACGATAAGAAGTCAGCAGAACTTTATGCAGGCCTGATGGAGCTTTGTAAGCAGAGAGGGTTCACGGTTTACTTTACTGAACTTAGAACCCTAGCAAAAAATGTATTTTTAGCTGTTTCTTAGGGATTATAATAACCAAAAATTAAAAATTATTTCTAAGTACCCCTAAGTTTAAGGGATGGCTTTGGTTCTAGAGGGGTTGGGGCTTAGGGTTGGGGGGGCACAAAACATTGCAAGCGCCTTTTACTTCCTATGTGAAACTGATTCAAGTTGTTCCTGCAAGCTCCAAATGGGAAAACTCTGCAATAATTTAGCAAATCTTGAAACTTCAAGTAGTGACTAGGGATGGAGCTTGCCGAGGTTCTGGCTTGGGCGGCCTAGGTGTAAGGTATACTTGCGTATACTTGTTGAGGTAGGGCTTAGGTTATACACCAATCTATACCATGCCGGATTTGCCCTCAATGTGTTTATGCTATCACATACTGTAGTGGCCTCAATAATTAGAGTAGGGAGTTGGAGCCCATGATATTGTCATTATAATAAGAAATCCCCACAATTCTAATGGTGGACCCTATATTATGCTATCACATAGCGCCCCCCAATCTTGCCATGAAGGCTCACCCATCCCTAAGCGTCCATGTGCCCAAATAGTATACCTGTAGCCGAAAAGACCTACCTTTTTGGGGTTCCTTGTCATGGTTTCTGTATATATATATATATATACATACAGACAGAGAGAGAGAGAGAGAGAGAGAGAGAGAGAGAGAGAGTTTCTGAAAAAGTAGGTCTTTTGTGCCGCAGGTATACTTTGGCCCTAAAGTACCTATATGGCGACAAACGAGGGCAAGTTGTAGCCGCAAATAGGGACTCCTTTAATTAAGGCCAAAGTATGTCTTAGTTCTCTTCTTGAAAAACCGGCCCAAACAAGGTTCTAACATTCTCAGATAGACCAAGACATGTAAGGCCAATAAGGTTAAACTTCTCTCATTGGCTACCTAGATTAGGCACCAAGCGGCCACGTGCCGGCTCGAGTTGACTCGTGCAGGACATGCTGGATTGCTCCCTTCGCCTCAGCGACTCAGATGCCCCTTCGACGTGGTAGGGTTTCTGGTTTCGGGGTCAACCTTCGTGGTTAGGATATTGCAGGGCTCTGGGGTATAGACAACCCTCACCGCACACAACCCTCGGTCGCGCACAGGATCCTAGTAGAGGGCTGGTAAAGTCCGGAAGATGAGCTGCCCCCTTTGCCCTAACCCGGACTGGCGCAAGCACCCCAAAACCCTAACATCAGTCGGTTTGCTATACCCTAACCTTCCAAAATCCCTTAATTAAGGAATGTACCTTAAATTATAATGGAAGCCCTAATATGAATTAAGGTATATTCCTTAATTAAGGGATTTTGGAAAGTCTGGGTACCGTAAGCTCTACACCGTCAACCGTCAGGCTTTTGGAGGTTTAGTAAGGTTTACCGAACCGAAACCCTAAACCCACAGCAAAGACCCTGATACGGGCCGGAGCACGAACGAGGGCTCTCCGTCTCCATCTCCGGCAGTGGCAGCTGGAGACCTTGATGCCGGGTCGGAATTAGGGTTTATGGGTTCAGGTATTTAGGGTTTAGGGTGTGCTAGGAAGAGGCGGCTTGAGATTCGTGCGCGGTCTTAAGGAACTGGACACTAGAATGCAGTACAGTGTTTCTGGATAACTGTTTATGGTTAGGATCCTACAATACGAAACAAGGGAACCGAAACAAGGGAACCGAAACAAGGTACATGTTAGGGTCCAACATGGCTCATAGCCATTCCTTAGTTGCTGAGTTCATAGGCCCCCAAAAGTGTGCACTTTCAGTTTTACAGTGGGTAATTTTATCCCCAAGAAGTGCAAAGTGTATCCACTCAGCTGCTGAGATTCGGATTGAGTAGAGTCCGCCGCGGCCGCGGGGCGAGAAGCTGCATGATTTTCGGGGGCTCTCTGGGGTTGACGCCCTTACCAAAAGCCCTTTGAAGTATCTGTTCCTGAAAGAAAGCCTATTCTGGAGCTTTATAAAATAGCAATCCGCTGTTTTTGTTGGGGGAGTTGAGGGTTTAGGATCAGCCAATTTTTGGTGGTGGTCATCTACTTGTTTATGCAGCTCCTTCAGCGCGGTCTGGCTACCCGGGCCTCAGAGGGTGTTGTACTTGGAGGATCATGGGACTTAGTAAGTAGGGGTATAAGTGCCTTCTATAATTGGGGTTATAGGTGCTTATAAGTACAGTTACCTTATTTATAACCCCACTTACTGAGTCCCATGATCCTTTAAGTATCAGGGCCCTTGAACCTTGCTCGCAGGATTCTGGGACACGAATTGCCACATGCTAAACCCCAAACCCCCTGTAAGGATTCTGCATGGGCTCTACAATGGTTCTTTAAGGGTTTAGTGTCAGAGAGCCCATATTCAATATTCAAGCTGCCGTACTAGGGATCTATAGTAATTAAATACTAGGGCTTCGTTTTGGTAACATAACTTAAGCTCCTTACCAAGGTTCCAGTCATCTGACGTTCGATTCCACAATACGATGCTCTGCAAAGAACAAGGATGGCTCTCTGGGCTCGGGCGTGGGTCCTTTTCTAATTTTTATCAGCATTTTTGTGTGCTTAAGTGCGACATGGTTTGATAGGAATTTGCACTTAACATGCTGAGAAACCTTATAAGCACCATAAAACTCATTGCGAGTATAGTCATAGAGTAGCCGTCCGCTGGCCCCGGAGATGTCCCAGTAGAGAATGCAATTTTCAAAGCCTCAGACCACAACGAAGCATGTAAGCCACATAGCCAGAGAAGCCCACGCCGGGTTGACTATATAATGGGGGGCTCCCGTTTCTTGTGTAGCTTCTGTGAAACCCTGATATGCTAGGCAAACCTCGGCAACATACCCGGCAGGCAACTGGGTTCTGGGCACATGAGGCCCCATTCATTGAGGAATGTAATGGCCTTACACCATATTAGGGATCCTATTTGGGAATTTCCGAAAACTAGGAGTACCTTATTGTTGGAAAGTCCTTGTAATGAGGATCCTACTATTTGGGGGTACTTTATTGGGGTCCCCTATTTGCGGAAACTCAAACTTGTGTATACGGTTTTCTCCCTACGACAGGGATCTTGGCAGGCCTGGGCCTAGCAACCCTATATCCTCATAGTAGGCCCCGTTGCTGGTGATGGCATCCGACGTCTTTCCGGTACCGGCGGTCGGAATCCGTGCTCCCTGGGCTTTTCTACAAGTCTAGGTTCGGGGTCTGGTTTTAATGGTTCGAAGGTACCCTTCATCCTTGCACTTGAGCTTGCAGTGAGGGGTCTAAGTGTTACCGTCTAAATGCTTATATGTGTGCTTATGTTGTGGGCATTACAGTCCGGGGTTAATGTTTGGCGTCGGTTGTTTACTCACTGCTGAACAGCTCTGTTACCAGACGGACAAAAGACAAGCCACTTTTTAGTTGCAACAACTAACCAGTGGTTTTGGGGGTTCCCTTGGCTCTTTAGCTCCGTATTTAATAGGGATTATCATGATCCCTGGCTCCTTAGCTCCCATAATATCAATGGTTAGACAAGGGTATGGCAACATACACTGAAGTGGGCTGAATAAACCAGGGGTTGGGTTGCTTGTATGCTATGAGTATTACGCGCCCCTCGTGGGATAGTAATGCTACTTGTTCAGATCCCAGTACTACAAGTCCTCGTGGCTTCCGTGAGTTTTGGAACTTAGTCGAAGGCTTTTGACGGGTTTTTAGGGTTAGAGTACGTGAGGATCATTTGACTTGGTTATAAGTGCCTTAATTGGGGATATACAGTTATAAGTAATAAGTTTATTTACCTTATTTATAACCTTACTTACTAAGTCCCATGTTCCTCCAAGTATACTTCTTGGTGTGGGAGTGAGTCTAGCCCAAGGTCCCCGCTTCTATCTCCAAGTGGTGAACAGCCCTAACTCTACGAGTACTCTACGAGAGAAAGTTAAACCCTTAGCTCCAGTACAGTTTACAGGACTTCAAAGTAACCAGGGAGAAAAATGTATAGACTTTTGTTTCTTAATGGTTCCTGTAAGAACAGGCACCAAAAAAAGTATTCCAGTATGGTACTCCGCACCCAGGTTTAGGGTGTAAGGTTTAGGGGTTTCTGGTTTGCCTTCTCCCTGAACCCGAAACCTAAGCTAAACGTTTGTCACAGGCTCTCCGGCGGAGCTCTGCATGGAGCTTTTCATCATGTCATGCAGCAACGCCGTCTGCTTACCTCAGCGGGTTTCGGGATGGGGCTTACCCAGACCTTCCAAAATCCCTTAATTAAGGAATATGCCTTAAATTATAATAGGATCCCTAATATGAGTTAAGGTATATTCCTTAATTAAGGGATTTTGGAAGGTCTGGGACCTTAACCCACCAGAACCTATTTTTTGGTAGGCTCCCTATGACTTCCACAATAGGATTCATAATAGGAAACTACAGAAAGGTGGTTTTGGTAGGTTAAGGTAGGGCTCAACATCATTACCGCCATAGACAACCCCCAGGCCCTAAACCCAAGGGACGCGCAGTAATCTAGGAATAAAACGGGCTCCGCTTTTTGGTTTTGGGTAACGGGTAACTTTATAAGGAACCTAGAGGGTACTACTGGGCATCCTAGACTCTAACCCCAAACCCTAAACCCTAAACCCTAGGTCCTAGAACCTGGATCCTGAGCCGAGCAGAAATCCTGGTTGAAGCTCAAAACCGGCCGAAACCGGAACGCTAAAGCCCCTCTGCACACTGAGCTCTTAACCGGAAAAACTGGGGCCACCCTACTCGCCATAGCCCGTCCCTCAACATCGGTGCCTTTATAATTAAATTAGAATAGGGTTTTGGGGCCCATTATGCTATAGTTGTAATTTAAAATGGAACCCCCAAAATAGTATAGGTAATTATAAAGGCCCCTCCTCAATCGCCGAGTCCATGAGCCCTAACCCTAAACCCGAAACCGCGCAACTCCAAAATCTTCAAACACAAGCGTAGGGTTTAGGGTTTTAGGCCCTAGTAAATTACATCATCTACCATTAGGGCCCAAATATCTACTATATGTCCATTACATTGGTACTTAAACCCTAAACCCTAAACCCCCTAAACCCTAAACCCTAACCCTTTGGCATGTTACCCCCAGCCTCCTTTAAGCAACGCGCCGCAGATCCTAAAATCCAAAAACCCTAAACCTGCAAGCTCCTAAAACCCAAGTCCCATAAGAACCAAATGCTGCCACGTGATCCCTACGAACCCTTAAAGGGCTCCTTAAAGGGATCTAAAGGGCTCCTTAAAGGGATCTATATAGGGTTTAGGGTTTAGGGTCTACTTGGAAAATCTATAAACCTGCTTGTCGGGTACCATGGGGAACTAAAGCTTAACCTTTTTGGTTATATAGTGATTATATAGGGACTATACTACCCCAAAAGACTCACTGGCCCAAAACCCAAGGAAATAAAAGTTGAAACTTTCAGAATGGACTACCTCATAAGAACCCCAAAAGTTGAAAAGTTGAGTTTATAGCCAATAAGGTGATTATATAGGGACTATACTACCCCAAAAGGGTTAAAGGTTGCCCTACTCTACTACTGGGTCTTAGGGATTAGGCTTTCGGGGTCTGAGGTTGACCACTCAAGAATCAAGAACCCAAGCCCCAAACTGTAAGCCCTAAAAAAAGCCTATACCCGAACTCAAACCTGAAGAACCCAAAGTGCAAACCCTAAACCCTAAAAATCCCAGATGAACTAAGGAATGTATACCTTAAATCATATTCGGGGGCGTACTTTTCATGTGTCTAAAGTGTGTTACCTGAGTAAGGGCTATTCGAGGGTCTGGGATGAAAACCTGGCCCAGCTGCTGAACTGACCCTCGATGAAGCTTCGCAGCTTCTCGGACTCTGCCTGCCAAAGTGCGGGCGAACACTTTTGGGTATGGGTCTTACTTAAAGGATCATGGGACATAGTAAGTAATGTTATAAGTACCTCAACTGGGGCTACAAGTAGTTAGAAGTATAGTTACCCTAATTATAACCCCACTTACTAAGTCTCATGGAAACTTTAAACATAGGGTTTAGGGTTGACGATATTGGGGCTTGGTGTTTACGCTTTTTCGTGCCGGTCTCTTTCCCGGGCTCAGGGTTTAAGGGCGAAGGATGAGGACTTCTATAGGCCAACTTTAGACTACAACGTAGAATCCTAAACCCTAAACCCTATACCCTATAGACCCTAAGCCCCGCAGCCCCTAAACCCCCGGGAGTTTGGAAGGCCTGGGCTTGTCTGTGATCCTACTGTTGATGATATAAATCCTGCATTATCTTAAGGACCCTAAACTATGGGAATTATGGTACATTCCTTATCATGGGTCGTGCAGGATTTATATCATCAACTGTATGAGCACCAGTCATCATCTTGCGGCCAAGGCCTTCGAGCTTTGCTTCGGAAGCGAAGGAAACCCTAAACCCTACACCTTGGGTACGGCCCCCACTCAGTAATAGTTGAATAATGTTCATAGTATAGATGTAGTAGGACCTTAATAGTAGCCCTATTATAGAATCTGAATGTATGGGGGCAGTATCTAACCTAAACCCCTTTGAAACCCGAAGCCTGCCCCAGGGTCAGAAAATAGCGAAAGACACCAAGGCTCCATGTACACATCTGGGAGTTTCCGAAATAGGGGACCCAAATATTGTATCCGAAATATTGGGATCCTTACTGAATTCTCGGAAAATTCCATCTAGTATATACCAAAAACCTATAAGTATGGTTATCTGATTTAAAAGCTCACTCACTTAGTTCCGTGATCCTCCGAGTGAGGGTCGATATACCCATGTAGTATATATACTTTGGCCCTATAGTACCTACACCGGGACGCCTTTAAAGCCAAATTATATACTGTATGATGGACCATTAGGGAGAGTATCGTCTTCGACATGGGGTCGTAGCTCTGGCTCAGAGGTTCAGCTGTGTGAAACAACGGGATATCTGTTCAGAGACCTTCCAAAATCTCGTAATTCTGGAATATACCTAAAATTCTAATAGGACCCCTAATGTGAATTAAGGTATATTCCTTAATTAAGGGATTCTGGAAGGTCTGGGTGTTCTGAGACCACAAGCCCCTCCTGGGTCTGGCAGGCACGTGCAAGAATCGGGACGGGGGACGGGCCCAAAAGACCGCACAAGACAAACACAAGAATTGAGGACTCCGAAAATTTTGAAAAAATACCTGAGCTGCACTCCTCATTTCTAACACAAGAATTTGTGAGCAAGGTTGCTTGCATCCTGTGTAGGTTTCTTGCACCCTGTGTAGGGGCTTGCACACGCTTTTACAAGGGTCTTTACATTCCAAAGCAAAGATCTTAGAAACAACATGCTGTTGTGGGCATGTGAGGCTGTCAACTTTCTGTAAAAGACCTATCTGTCTATCTATCTATATATATATATATATATATATATCACTTGGGGTTTAGGATACTACCCATAAATATTTTGTACCCCAGCAACACATTATTGGTTCATGAATGCCCACAGCCCTCGCCTGCAGCTGCGCATGTAGGTCATCCATGGCACGTACCACTTCCAGGTCGGCACGAAGTTTGGGCTTCAAACCCTAAACCCCGAACCCTAAACCCTACACCCCTCAACCCCGAAACCCCTAAACCGCTTTTCGGGGTAGCTATCTTATTACTGGAGACGTTGGGAGCGTGTCCCTTTCAGCTTGGGTTTCAGGGTTTGGCGCTTTGGGATGTAGACTGTTAGGCTACGTTGGTCGCTCACTGCATCTGAAACATATCAGTTCGAAGTGCGATCCTAAAGCTAAAGGAGTATCTGAAGGCATCCTGGTGGCTATCCAGCAGGGTAAAAGGAGGTTTAGGGCATTGGGCTCCAAGGTGCTTCAGGTGGATAACACGCTTCGAAAGACCAACACCATCAGCAGGATTGCATTGAAGGCGAGGTGCAGGGTCTGGGCATTTCGCAAAGGGTTCTGTAAAGGATACCTAGTACAACTCCGTCATGGGCCGCTACTTGAGTTTCAAAACGATAATCCTATGGAGGCCATAGAACTTACAACTCACTTGTCTGGATGTCATTGCCAGGTTTCCACTGTGTGCTCGAAGCAGGCGGCTGGCGGTGGCGGGTTTGGGGCTCGCAAAAAGCTCTTATCGGGGTTGTAAGCTTCCTATCAGGGTTTAGGGTTCCTTTAGGGGTCCTCAGGGTCCCTTTAAGGGGTGTATCGGTTTTGGGGGAGTGGGGTTTAGGGTGCAGGATGGTTCATCCCAGAAAGGCACTCTTTAAGGGCTTGCGTGACTCCTTGCCCAGACGACCCCCATGCCGCAGAAAACCCAACACAGCTCATCGACAAGGATTCCTCAAACTCGAGAAAAATTTCTTTATGGTAACTTGGCGGAAGGATGAAGTTTGGGTCCGGCCCCCGAACGCCACAGGCTGCGCATACACCCTAAAACCCTAAAGGTTCAAGGCTAGGTACCCCGACAATCCAAAATCCCCAATTAAGGAACATACCATTCAATTACAATACGTAGGCTCCCTCATCTGAATTAAGCTATCTTCCTTAATTAAGGCGTTTTGGGGTCTCCGGGTGATTGAAGAGCTTTGAAGCAGGAGCCTGGCAGGAGAAGCCATGATTTGTGATTGTCCCTGGCCTCTTCTTGCGCATCTAAGCGAGACTACGAGGGTTTAGGGTTTAGGAGCACGATGGCTTACTATGCCATATATACTACTACTGTCATTGGGGGTACGAACCTCTAAATGACCAAGTACAAGTTCTAGATGTCCATTTCGGAGAGAAGCCAATCAATGTATTGCCTGGAACTTGGACATCAGGGTCAGGTTTCCTCCTTATCTCCCGTATGGGAATACGAGAAAGGAGCAATCTATCCCTGGCCTCAAGGTCAAGGTCGTGAACCTCAGGGTTCAGCGTCGAAGGGTTCGCGACGCAGGGCTTGGAGTGTACGGGTTTGGGGTTTAAGGGGCTCTCTTTGGTGCGCTACTAGAGACAACATGATACAAGTATGGGCCGTATACACCGATGATCAGTCTGTGCCATGAAACCAGATGAGGCCGTCTTAACGGAGCCGGATAATTAAAGACTTTCTGCGTCTCTTCTCATCAAGCCCGCTGGTGCCCCCAACCCTGAACAGAAACCTCCAAGGTAGAATCCGGATTGTAATTCCAATCAGAATCCTAACATTTGCTTAGGTGCTTACAGACAAAAGGGTCTACATTAATCATGAGTTCTGACTCTAAACCCTAAACTTTAACACTAAGCCTATAGACCCTAAACCCTATAACTTTCAAACTCAAAACCCAAACCCGAAACCTTAGAACCTGTGATTTCTGACTCTAAACCCTAAACTTCAACACTAAACCAATAGACCCTAAACCCTATAACTTTTAAACTCAAAACCCGAAACCTTAGAACCCAGGGCATCAAGACCGGATCAGACCCTCGAACTTGGGGTTTAGGGTTCACCTTAACCCTGAAGGAACTACCCTTTCAAGGACTTGTATAAGGAAATCATACCTACCCTTTTAAGGGGACCTACCCTTTTTAAGGACTTATATAAGGAAGTCATAATAAGGAACCCTAAGAAGGTACGTAGGTTTTTTGGGGTTCAGGGTTTAGGGTTCCTTCACAAAGAATGCACAGAGCACAACGCCTCTTCATTGAAGACTGAACCTCAACAAATCCTATTCCTTCTGCCCATTCATTCATCAAGTAATAAATATCGATCATGTTAGCCTAAACCCCAGAGGCTTCAACAAGACCCAACATAAACTCTAAGGTCTTTGATAATAGGAATCGTTTAGAGGTCCCTGGAAGGGAACTATAGGGACTTTATAATCAGGGTTTTCAAGGGTTGTCAGGGTTTACGGTTTAGTAAACCCGAAACCCTAAACCGTTTTAGGGCCGGAGCCCAGAGAGCCCAACACCCCTTGATTAAGGAATATGCTTAAATCATCATAATACGAAGCCCCTTATAATTCAAGCCAGATTCCTTAGTTAGGGGGTATTGGGCTCTCTAGGAACCTCAAGAATCAGACTGAGGATTTGGTGCGTGGTCTTTCTATTATGACTAAGCCTATGTGGAGTATGATCCTTCAATATCCAGGCTTCTGTACTAACCCTAGGCTCCCCTGAAAATGTTGAAGGTTTAGGGTTTAGAGTCTGGGGTTTAGGGTACCCATGTCGTTACTACTCAGTCTGCATAAGTTTCAGAAGCAGCTTACCACACAAAAAGGACATGAGGGAACGGTGACAACCCTGCAGATTCTGTAGCAACCCCGTACAAAGCCTTTCTAAGGCCCTAAAGAACCCCTGTAAAGTCTTCGAGACTCTCTGTGACAAGGCGTCTACTTCGGCTGGACTCCGGCTGGACCTGAAGGAAAGGGGTTTTGGGGTTGAGGGGCTACCTTAAAGGGATCCGTAAGGGTCCTGTTTGAAAAGAAAAAGCCCAAAGATCGCCCAACACACCGAACCTTAACCCCCAGCGCTGCGGTTTAGGGCTTGGGGTTTAGGTTTTAGGATTTTAGGGTTTAGGGTTTGGGGTTTGGGATTGACGGTTGAGGTTTAGGAAACCAATCTTAAACAATGCTTGCAGAACCGTTGACAAAAAAAACGCTTCCATGTATGAGAGCACCAACCAGGCGTTTAAACAGCTGTCTAGAGGCCTACCCGAGAGACATCCTTTAATCCGTCGAAAATCCTATAAAACATATGGGAAAATAGGGGGCCCTAAATATGTAGCACCTTAAATGGTAGGATCCTTATTTTGAGGACCCCCAAAATAAGGTACCCCCCCAATTTCGGAAACTCCCAATGGTGCTGAGAGCCCAACCAGGCGACCATCCGGACTGGGCGGGTCGGTCCAGGCCTCTTTTGGGTTTTTAGGTTTAGTGTTTGGGAAGATCAAGATATGGAAGTTTCAGAAAAATGGTACCCGAATATGGTATACTATAGTAGGATCTTATTATAAGGGCCCCAAAATAAGGTACCCCTAATTTCCGGGAACAAATATCTCTTAGAGGCATACAACGACAAGGTTAGGATTAATTACCCCAACTCAAGATGTTATGCTCTTACAGCCCTTCTCCTCTTTTTACGGAAGGGTTAAGGGTGTAGAATGTACATAGGGCTTAGCATCGCGGAGCTGGCGCTTAAGATTTAGATTTGGGTTTTTGGGATTTTGGAAATTGGTCTATGATTTGGGGCTTAGTATAGTAGCTTGAACTAATGGACTCTGGGCTATCGGCTTCTACTCCGTGAAGGCAAACACCGTCTATTGTGTTGGCATCCCTCCGACAATACATGCATGGGATAGTGTAGGAACCTGTTTCTAGGCCCGGGGTTTCTTTTTCAGATTCCTACATTATGCTTTTGGTTAGGGTTTGATATCAAGCAGTCACCTGTGCGCAAGCAGGACGAGGCTGCGGCGAGGGTGATGCCGAGAGCCTGGCAGGCGAAAATAGCGCTAAGGCTTTGGCGTGCAGGTTGCTAGTACTGGGATGCCCAGTAGTGCCCTTGTTCCATCTTGTCGTCCTGGGTTCCTTATTCAGGTACCCAATACCAAAAAGGGAGCCCTGTTTTATTCCTAGGTTACGGGGCATCCTAGAGTATCCTTCAACCTGCACACCCTTAGCTTACTTCCCCCAAATAAGCCACGGACATCAAACAAAAATCAACTGTCAGATTGCTACTAAAAGCTGCTGAACTGTAAGAGCCTAGGAGAATTAGAGATTGGGTGTTGGACAACTAGTTTAGCCGCGAACGCTACATGCAATCTTAGGTATATGAGGCTACGGAGTTTAGCTTCGGGTTCCATGAGCAGGGTAGCTTTCTTTGCTTGAAGATTGATGCATTGCTTACAGGAGGACGCACAAGCAAGGTGACTGAAGTGCTGATTTGCGTACAAGACTCGTTCATGTAGCATGCAGATTGTCACATAGCTATACAGGCATAGGTAGGGTCATGACTGACAACTTTTACTGGGACTCTGTATGAAACATGTACTTGCCGCCTGGCCCTCTAAGTCACGTAGGTTCCCCAGATGGAAGCTGAACCCTTGTTTGCACACGGCATTTATTTATAGCCTGGGTCTATAAGAAAATCTCAGGATCATGTTACATGTGAATTTAATTGTTCAGTTCATAGCCCAAGACCGTTTATGCGTTGATTGGCGATGGAGGAAAACATATCTTAAGCCCAAAACCAGAAACCAAAAGCCCAGACAAGACAATCGCAGAACTCGACAGCTCGAGGACTTGCAGTATTTGGATACCTTTACTTCTTTCCCTTGAGAAGTTTGGCAAGGCGTCATCTCTGCAAAGGGCGCTATACTTCAACAAAACAAAAACACAAAAGCACAAAACCTGCCCGAACCCACAAACATGGCTAAAACAATGGCCCAGCACCCGTGAAAGGCTTTGAATCTACCTACGTGTGGGGTCCATGTAAGCCCTGAACCCTGAACGAGGCTTTGGGTTTGGGGCTTTGGGGGCTGCATCGCTTAAGCGGCTTTATAACATAAATATGTAATAGAACTG